GTTAATTTTAAAGCTATGATTATGGTATTGTAACTATTTTCAAGGGAATGAGTTATTTTTAGAGATGTCTTGAAAGACTATGGAGACATCTCAAGCACGTTTAGCATTTGCTTAAAAAAAAAAGAAAAACCTGAGAAGAGGGAGAGGAAGTGGAACAAGATTGACCACAATGGTGGTCAAGGCTGGCTGGTGGGCACTTGAGTTGTTTCAAGGGCCGCTGAGTCCAGAGAAAGATGTCCCCTTGCTCACGACAAGCATCTAACACGGTGACCTGCGCAAGCACTTTCCTCTCTTTGGTTCCTTCTGCGTACCATTGGGAGAAGCACAACTGTTTGTCTGTCTTAAAGGTCTGCAGTCAAAGGGGATTTCAGATCCACTCTGATCTCCCTTTGGTTGGTGCTTTGCGGACTTTGTAAAGATTAATTTTTCTTCCACTGACATCCTGCATTTATTTCAGAGCACTAGTTTCTAGACATTGAAGATGGCAGCTATAGATGGAAGTGATGTTTCTGACAAGCTCTGACACTAATGGGTAGTTACAGTGAAGTGCCAAGGAGGAGGGGGGGGTCCCTGGAGGGGATCCCCAGAGGATGGGTGCCTCTGAGAGGAGTGGGTGGGCTCTGCTAGGAGAGGGAAGGCTGCGTTCGCAGGCTCGCTGCTCCCCATTTCCTTTGATAACAGCCTTGCTGTATGCTGTGAGGCGCTGGCTGTCATGGTGACAAGAAGGGGCTGAAGCAAGATGATGGGACTGAGAAACGGGATATGAACAGGAGCCCCACACGTATGACATAGTTTGAAAATTATTTTTCCTTTGAGCAGGATGACACATTGTCTAGTTCTGTTGACCAGGCTTCTTAGGAGTCTGCAAGCCAGACAGGCCTCTGCCCTTCTTTATGCTACTTTGCTGTTTTGTTAGCAATACCATTAGCTGCAAGTACAGAAGCCGCTGAATGAATGACTGGTGTGAACAAACAGGCCCTCCTCTCCCATTCTTTCCTTTCTTCTTCCTCCTCCCCTTTACCTCTCCTCTTCCCCCCTTTTCATGCTAGAGATTGAACCCAGGGTCTCCAATCTCTGCCACTGAGCTACATTCCAGCTCCCTTCTTTCTAGCTGCAGAAGAACATAGGGGTGCGCTGTTTCAGTGACTTGGGACTGGTATCTCATGAGACAGCAGCATCAGTCCCTAAGAATTTCGATATCACACCACATGCAGAGGCCACGGGCAGGAGTTAGCTTCTGGGCTCTCCTGCCTCCTCAGAAGCCCCTTGGCAGAATACTCCTGTGCCCCATTGGGTAGGAATGGGTCATGTGGCCCATCCATTTACCATACAGACTGGGAAATAGATTGACTTCCCCAGACTCTACCAAGGTAGACAGGCAAGGGAAAAGTAGATTAGGAAAATTGGAAGGTCAGGCGATCAGCAAGTTTGCTTCCTCCAAATCTTCCTGCTCTGAGTAGGGTTTCCTGTACTGCTCACGTTTTTCTAAATGGGGCTTGGATTCTCTGCTTAATGCATCAGAGTAAGGTCACCCAAAGGGTGATTGTTGCTGTTCAGTGATGCTTCCATTGGGTTTGCTCCTCCTGTGTGCTTTTCCTTGATGACTGCTGCTCAGAAAATCTTGGCTCCTCAACAGTCAAGTCATCAGTACATGTTTACAGAGTACCCTTCTTTGATGAACCCTGAGGGGACACAGAGACGTGGAAGGAGCCATTCCCAGCCTCAGGACTGCACAGATATCCAGGCAATGTAGCATTTAGGAGGCAGGCTGTAATTATGAACATGGTGTGGGAGGCAGGCATCAAAGGCTCCTGCCTGGGGGGCGGGGGCAGAGTCAGGCAGAAAAGATGCCCTAAGGAGGTGGGTGCTGGCCTTGAACATATGACAAAGTTCAGGGTTTGAATGTCTATGTGAATCTATACAGCTCCCAGCACCTTACCTCTCTTGATGTATTTCATCTTCATACCACCCACACCAGGTGGTGGTGTCCTTTATAGAGCAAGCCAAGGTTCAAAGGGCTAAGGTACCCAAGGTTTTCTCACCACCCTGGTTGGTGGCGGTCACCATGTCACACTTTTTCCGTGTACTTTCCCCTAGTCCTCTTCTTCTGCCTATTTAAAGCTCTGCCTCTGGCTATGGGTCATGTGATTCAGTCTTGGCCAATCACAGAAGCCTACCCATGACTTTGATTGGCCCAGGGTGGTCATGTGACTTGAGCCAACCGTGTAAGAAATCAAGATGGAGGAAGAAGCCCGTAGAGAGGGGAGTTTCAGGGAATGGTGAACTCGGATTCTTGGTCCTTTAGTCCTGAGAGCTTCTCCAGCATTCTTTACAACTAGGGGAGTCAGTATGTTCCTTAAAAACAAAACAACCCAACTTTATTAAAATATAATTCACTCAATTTAAAGGGTATAATTCAGTAGTTTTGCTGGGTATGGTGGTGCAAGCCTGTAATTCCAGCAGTCAGGAGGCAAAGGCAGGAGGATGGACATGAGTTCAAGGCCAGCCTGAACTACATAGTGAGACATTGCCTCAAAAATAAAAAAAAAAATCTGTAGTTTTTAGTGTATTCATAGAGTTGGGCAACAATTACCATATCAATCCTGAAAGATCTACTCTATACCTCCTCACCCCTCCCCATTTGTCTCTATGGATTTACTTATTCTGGACACATAATTAAAGTAGAATCATACAATGTGTAATCCTTTGTGACTGGCTTCTTTCATTTAGCATATTTTGAAAGTTCATACACATTGTATCGGTATCTTTTTTGCAGAGATTGGTTGAGGTTGGGCTTCTGGGACTTGCTAAGTGTGCCCAGAATTTGAAGATTATAGGCACAGTCCCCTAATTGGCCTTCATGGAGTACTAACGTGTCATGAGAGTTATCCCATGAAAGCATAATACACACTTTGTCTTTTAACTGGAAAATGCAGAAGCAATAATTCAAGAGAACCAGGCTACAGGTGCTGCTCTGTGTCTTGGTGGACTACTGGTTCCATCACCAAATGTGACCACCATGCTTGTTGGCTGATGGGCAGAGAGGGTGATAGCTGGTGGTCTCCTTCCTTGTGCTTCATTCTTCATTCCCTGTGAACGCTAATCTGAAGGACATGTGTCCCAGGTCAACCATCACATATATGAAAGAATATGATAAAAACTACCCAGAATATGATAAAAACTACCCAGATCCCAGAGTCAGGAGGGGGATGGGCCATGTCCTTCAGCACCCTGCAGCACGCAAACAGGCAGCATCCTTGGAGCTGATCTAGATGCACATTAAAAGGGGCAGTCGGGGAAAGGTGCAGACCAGGATGTCTGAGCCTTTCTCAGTGCATCAGCAGTGGCCATAAGTACCCCAAACCTCTTAGTGGAGTCCAGACCACAAACCTCATCCATGTAGCATGTCTTGCCTTGCCCCTGTGGTCCTGGGTGGCCGGCTCAGTCCCCTCGGGTGGCCTCCATCCTAATTTCCTCTCCACCGCAGCCCAAGCCAGCACTGTTCCATGCTTAGGGCCCTGCTCCAGCCTCCTCCCTGACAAAGCCACATAACTACCTCCTCCAGCCACTCTCTGCCCCCAGGAAACCATGCATTTTGTAGGGCGTTGGGTGCAGATGCAGCTGTCTGGTGCATGAACCCACCACAGAGGAATCAGCAGATGAAGGGGATGGCATGGTGCTTGGGCAGCTGCCCTGTGGCTCTGGGATACAGAGTGAGAAGCTATTTCCCTAAGGGGGTTAGGGGGCTCTGGGCACAAGCAGAGGTGCTCAGGTAACAAGGAGGGCTTGGTGTTTGGGTTTCTCCTAACTCCATCCCAGACCCCAGCCCTGCTGTGACACATCAGGTCTGAGCTTTGGGACCAGAGGACACAGCGCTTGAGGCTGAGCTTGGGTGCCTCTGTGGAGGGTGTGACAGTGGGCAGTCAATGGCGACCTCTCCCCTGTCAGGACCACAGGAGCAAAGTGAGTCCTGGAGGCTGGGGAAGTCGAGGATTTGCTCACACTCAGTGTCTGCTCCACCATGTGTGCTCCTCAAGAGGCCCAGGCACTGATCCCACTTCACCAAGAGCCCATTTGTGCAGGATGGCAAGGAGAGAAGCCAGGCTCACAAGATAAATGAGCAGGCATAGGAGTGAGTCTTGGCTGGGGTCACAAGTTCCATTTAAAAGGGGGAAAGCTGCTGGGCCCATGGTAACCCTGTGGGAATGTAGGTCCAGGAATGCCAGATTGCCCCATTTTTTTTTCTTTGCCCATTTTTTTCTTAAGAAAACAGAAATCCAGATTTTTATGTGAAATCTCCTGATCTTCAAAAGTGAGTCACTATCTATATTTGAATGTTCAGATCCATTTTCCACCCGGCCCTTCTACTCTCCTACCACAACTTCTGGCTGGATGTGGCAACTCAGCAAAGCAGGTAGAGACTGGTAGGTAGGAGGTTAAAATACTCATTGCCTCCCCCTAAGCGATGCTCCTCCTGCCCATTCACAGCAGACATGGTCTTGATCCTCTCTGTGTCCTCTGTGTATGACCTCGGCTCCCAGCGCTGAGGGTGGGCCCACTCCCAGGTGACAGCTCCCATGGTCTGGACCCTCCCTCCCTGTCTGCTGGCCTGGGGGTGGCAAGGCTCTCTGTACTGTTCTTTGTTGGTTTCTTCATCTAGACTTTGTGGATGCCCTTGAGAACAGCTCTTTCCTTATGGGCACTCCTCAATCACCCTTTTGGATGTACCCTCTCCATCTTGCTGGGAGCTACCAGGAGTACCAAAAGCCAATCACCAAACAACCCAGTAAGGACCCTACACACCTGGGTGTGCAGCCCAGCCAGATCCAGCAAGTCCACAGGAATTCAGCACATGCCTACTGATTGGTACTCAAACACCAGCCCTAGGCCAGCAGACTGCAGTAGGGTCACCACATGAGCCAACATACTGCGGGGAGCAGCAAGACCCAGAAATGCCCGAATAGAAACCCAAGGAGCAATATGAAAGGAAAACACCTAGAGACACGTCCTATCCATTTAATGACCAATATAATCGTGCAAATGCCAAGCTATGGGGAGCACAGGGTACACGAAGCACAGAAGCCTTGGGGGTTGTGGGGGAACTACAACACTGTCATAGGAAATGGGGTCACCTAGTGTTGACAGGGGAGGGGTGGCCCCCTGGCAGCTCAGACCTAGGATGTGTTCCTCAGGGAATCCGCATCCTGTCCCCAAAGCGGGAGTGAGCACGCCAGCTGCCTTTACTCTCGAACATAAATTCTTGTGCAGACCACGTCGTCAGCACCAAATGTCTGCACAGGAGAAAAGAAAAACTGATCAGTATCAATGCTGGTGCAAAGCACTTAAAGCACATCATGAACAAGGCTACTCACTGCCCTGCTAAAACCCTCTCTGACAGACATCCAGTTTCCTGTGCTGAGCGTTCACACCAAGCACTGAGGATTTAGGGTCTTCCCTTAAGCTCCCGACTGGCAAAGCAGCCACTGAGTTTCTGAATTGCTATGCTGTATACAGCTGCCCACTTCTGGAACCTGTGAGCGCTGATGTAAGCAGTGAAAGTTTCTTGCTTTAGTTTTGAATTTAAAAGGGGAAGGACATCATGCTGGACGTTTCTGAAGAGGTCCAGTGTCCCTTCAAATGACTTCAAGACACCCAGGGGCCTGGGCAGCTGAAGCTGCAGGGTCAGTGCTGGCCAGCCAGAGGGGACTGCTGTGGAAATGGAACAGAGTGGGCTTTCAGGTGCAGCCACCAGCCTGGGAGATAGGCAAGCCCCTGTATCCACACGTTCCACATCCTCAGATCCAATCAACCATAAACTGAAAATACTTTCTAAAAGTTACCTCTGTGCTAAACATGCATGTACTCTTCTCATCATTATTCCCTAAATAATGCAGTATAGTGACAATTCACATTTAGCATTTACACATACTAGGTATCGTAAGGAATCTAGAGATGGTTTAAAGTACATTGGAGGAGGTGCCTGGGCTATATGCAAATTTCACACCTTTTGATATGAGAGACTTGAGCATCCAAATTTGGTGTCTGGGGGTTTTGGTACCAATCTCCCAGGGATATGAAGGGGTGACTAACACTCAGGTCACCTTTAGGGTAGGAAATTGGTATCAGTTGCAAAAGCACAGCACTGGTCTCCTGGCTGGCCCTGCAACCCCCAGCCAGGTAAGCATGGGAAGGCACCTCCTCTCTGGGCTTAGCGGGAAGGGACAGGCAGTGGTGAGGCAGGGGCAGACTTGAACAAGGTGATCCGGAAGGCTCTTTCCAGCTAAAATTCTATGGCTCTTTGTTTGTTTGCTGCGGGGAGGGCATCAATCATTCCACAGACAGAGGGGGACATTTTTCTTCTGGCCTCTGAAATGATAGAGCCCATAAGTAAGCTGTCTTGACTTTTCCAAAAACTAGCAATTACTCACAGGCCTTCTCTCCTGGGCCTCTTGCAGGCACTGAGCACAGGGAAAGCAATGTGTGCATTCAAAAAGCAAAAACAAAAGCAAAACTTCCCCAGTCTGTAGATCTCTTATGGGTGTCTTTGTCTGCCAATGTTCATTAACCTGCTGAAGAGTCTACCTTCGAGATTCTCAAAGTGGCCTGAGATCCAAAGAATTTAAAAACACCGGACTAAGAGGTTCATTATCTTAGCAGCTTCAGGTTTTTATTATTTTTTTCCCAAGACCTTGCACAAGCTAGGCAGGCACACAACCATTGAGCTGCACCTCACATCCATTTTTCTCTTTTGAATTAATACATAATCACCGAACATATTTATGGAAGAATCTTCAGATTCTTACCTCTGGAGCCCTTAGAGGCTCTCAGAGCACATGTGCTACTGCTTTATCCCGTGCTTAAGAGAAACACGTCTGGTCTTCAGTGATTCATAAGGAAGCAAAAGATCACACTGGGGATCTGACCAGAAGAGCAGTTTTATCTGTGGCTAGACACCCGCCTCTTTCCTGTAAGCCAGGAATTCAGAGGATTCTGTGTGCTGGAGGTATGGGGGGTGGAGTTCAACACATAAATCTACTTTTTCCATGTTTGTAGCTCTCAGAAACATGTTGGCTTTTCAGAACTCTTTGTGCTCTGTGGCCCTTGAGTATCTGAATACCAAAGTTTAGAGGTTTGACTTTTTACCTGCATCATAACTATTCCAGCTATCTGACATCTCACTCAAACTAACAAATGGCTTCATAATGCAAGAGGAAATCCCATTTGCATGCCAGGGATGGCGGTGCCTGCCTGTAATCCCAGCAGTCAGGAGGCTGAGGCAGGAGGAACACTGCAAGGTGGAGGCTAGCCTGGGCTACACAGTGAGTTCAAAGCCAGCCTGAACTACATAGTGAGACCCTGTCTCAAAAAACAAACAAACAAAAAAACAAAACAGAAATCCCACTTTTAACCACTCTTAAAGTGGCCTTCTAAACCTGCAAACCTTAGAGTTTCCTGAAAGAAACTCTCCACAGAATATTCCAGAACCATGTTGAATATACTCAGTATCAAAGAAAGACAACTTTGCAGTTCAGGGGCAATTTACTGTTAGCCCTGGGAGAGCAGATTTCAACTTAACTAGCATAATTTGCCTCTTGTTATGTGGCAATTACATCTTCTGACATTCTGGATTTATTAATGATAATAACCCTTGAAAGAAAGCCCACATTTCAGATTCCAAATGCCAAGAATTAACACTCCCTCTGAGGCTTGTATATCTGTTTGCTGGGCCACAGGATGATGTTGGGACCTGGAGGTGGGAGTGGGTGGGAGCTGTCATGGGCGAGGAGAGGGGATTTGGATAGTACAGTCCCTCGTGAAGAATTTGGCCTGGGTTCCTGGCTGTCAGTTTCTATAGAGGTTAACAAAATCATATTTTCTGCAAGCAGACTGTTCGTGCTTAACCTCTGGCTATAAAAAAGAACTCTAAAATATCCCCTCTTTACTGTCTCTGGAACCAGCAAACTGTATGTGCCTTTTCTCTAGATTTGCAAGTCTTAGCCTCATATTGCTCCACAACCCCATCAAGTATTCATTCCCTACAAATAGCATTAACCAGGTTGGAAATTAAGCCAGTCCTTTCTCTAGGAAGATGCAAAGCATGTTAAATCATCCTGGAAAAGGACAAGGGGAGAAACAAGGGTGGGGCTGGGGGTGGGGGTGATGATCAAGAAGCCTCAGCTAAACAGAGGCAGCTCAATGTGAGGTCCGCTTGCAGAATGAACATGTCATTTTGAGGCTGAAGGGGATCTCGGGGGCCAGGCTTCAGTCCAATCCCTTATCTTACGGCAAGGAGATGGAGACAACAGGAGGAGCTGTGACCGGGTCACATAGGATATCCTTTCCCAGAGCCCCTCACTTGCCTCACCATCTCCTGTTCCCAATATTTTGGGGGTGACATTCATGAAGATGGGGCAGATATCTTAGAGGGGAGATGTTAACAATATGCCCGACGGAGAACAAAGGATAGAAATTCTAAGTTACCCACAGTGGCTTTACCCAGGGATAGGATGTGGTTCTAGGAAAGTTGGGCCAGTTCTGAAACACAGAGGGAGATGAGGTGTGTGATTAACCTATGGAGGGCCTAACTTGGCCTGACAGTGTAGGTCAGAGGAAATCATTGTCAAACGGCTGGCAGGGGCAGGTTTGGTTGGCTGAGGGTATTTAAAATGTTTCTGTCTGCATTCTTTGAACTTGAAGCCCACTACTCACACTGTATTTCAGATACTTCCCAAATCAGCAGTACTCACTTGGTTCTCACAGGCCCCGGGGGTTTGTAAATCTGCGGTTAAAAATGTTCTGTAGGGCTGAGTATTGGTGTGATAAAAATTTCTGAAACCTTTCCCAGCCAGCAAAATGGGTAATGAGAAAAAACAAGACAAAACAAACAACCTTCCCCCCGAAAAACCCACTTCCCACAGCATGACCCTGGGGCACCTCACAGAGCCCAGATGCCCAAGCATTCTGGCTTGGAGCCTGTCACCCCCATGGCTGCAGAGGCAGAGCAGCTTGGACAGCACATGCAGCAGCCTCTCGCTAGCTCTACAGTGCCCTCTTAGCCATTCCTCCCCCCTGCCAGCCGTTTGACAATGATTTCCTCTGACCTACACTGTCATCTCAGGCATTCTGCTCAAATTTAACCCAGGGCAAATGTCTTTCTCTGAAGAGATGCATGAAGGTGACATATTTGTGTGGCCTGCCACAGGGTCACTGGAGAGCCTTGGGGCTGTGTTGGGGTTCAGGGGCCCTCACCAGGATGAGCTCGTCGTTGGCCAGCTCACGGGTCCAGTAGGTTTTGGGGCCATCGCCCTCGAGGAGAGTTTGTGTGCAGTGAATCTTGTTCTCATTCTCCCAAGTAGCTAAACTCTGCGGGCAGGAAAGCCATTAGTGACATTAATTACAGACTCAGCGGTGAAAGCGAGACAACAATGAGCACCGGAGAGTAATTGCTGTGCGGAGAAGCAACACATGGTCCTTGTCGGCAGGCACGGACTCTTCTCTGCAGAGCCGGATGAAATCCAAATCCAGAGTGCTGGTTGTGGATTTTATGGCGTATATATACATGTTGTATTGCATACATGCACTCACATACATGCGCGCGCGCACACACACACGTCACAAAAGGGGCAAAGCCTTAGGCCTGCTTTATGTTTCTAGGAATAAAATTCAGAGCACACAATGATTCACTGATGTCAGAACAGACTAACTCTTCAAAAAATCTGGGTTTTAAAGGCAAAAACCTTCAGATCACAACTACAGAATTTTACATCAGCCAAGGTATCACTTTGTAATCACATCGGTGGCCAGCGGGTCAAGAGTATGACCCTGCGGGGACGGTTTTGGGGCTAAAACTTCTTTTCTATCTGCACTCCTCAACAGATGTGCCACATACCCTGCCCAATAAACCTGGGTGTCTCTGAGAATAAAAGCACTCCTACTTTCCAGGTTACATCTTTCTAGAAAAAATTTAAAACTCAAGGTCATCTGAAGGGTCTTCATGTTGCTGGAGGAGAGAGTGGAAGGAGAGTTTCCCCAGGGTGTTCACAGAGCCAAGTGGGGAACAGCTGGGCTGAGCAGCCCCGAATGTGCACATAATCACACCCTAACTAGCACATGGGACATTCATTAGGCAGCGGGGTGGGGAGAAGGGCTGGGGATAACTAAAGCCCACTCTCGGCTGCTGTACAACCTTTGTTTTTGGTTTTTGTTTATTTTAAAATCTGAATTATCCTGCCTGGCAGGAGTCACCATCGGGTGTCCCCAAGTTGAGCATAGCCTATTTCCAGCCTCTCCCTTAGATTCCTGCCCTTTGCTCTAACAATCCTGTCCTGCGCTCTGCTTTTGCAAACACTGGTGTGACTTGGACCTCAGATGTGCCAGCTCCAAGCCTGGACATCATTTTGAGGCCATACTGATTCTGGGGGCCAGAGATGCCTACCACCTCTCGGGAGCCAGGCCCTCTCAGATTAGCCAGGCATGGCTCAGCAAAGAGAAAAGAAACAATTTCCCACTCTTTGGAATGCTATTACTTTTCTTTCTTTCTTTTTTCGTTTTTAAAACATTAGAGAAAGGCGGGGAAATACTCTGTCACTTACTTAAAATAAGTGGTTGCAGCAGCGATTACTTTTCCATCTGCTTAACTGAAGGCAATTTTTGCCCATAAAAAAAGGAATCCACAATCCCTTGCTTCAGTTAGGGCCGATGTTCGGAGACGTAAAAATCTCTGGCCCTTGAGGACTTAAGAAAAGGCATTTCGTTCAACCTCCCAGCCAGGACCTGGGCTGCTTTGAAATATTCTGCCTTTCCTTTAAGGACCTGGGGAGTAGCGGGGAGTGTTTCTGGGCCACCGGGATTGCTGAAACTGGATCCAGAGGTTCCCCAGCGACAATGGGACGCAGGAGGCGGGATGCACTAGCCTCCTCTCACCTGCTACGGGAAACTCCTGCAGCAGGGGCCGGGAACAGGCATCCATCCAGCCCGCTGCTCTATGCAACCCGTGTGCCAAGGACACAGGCACTGCTGGAAGAGCCACAGCTGGGCGCTGGGCGACTCAGCCTCTCTCTACATGGGCCTGTCCACACCTGAGGGAGGGGTTCGGGTTGTGATCAAGTGGACAGCCGGGCCGCCCCAACTCTCTGCAAACATCAGCAACCTAAGCGTGCCCCTGGATGCGGGAGAGAGACTGGGGTGGGGGCGGCCGGACCCGGGTTCGGCCTCACCTTGCACTTGCGGCCGTCCACCGTCTCCTCCTCAAAACCTTCACCGACCTTGAAGCTGATCTCTGTGGTGCGCACCGTGGTGGACGTCTTGATGTAGAACTGGTCGCCGTCCTGGCGGATCTCCACGTGCGGCTTCGAGGCAGCGGCCACCGCCACCTTCCTGAGCATGGCGTTCACACCTGCGCGGGGTCATGCGGAGACAGGGCCTGATCTCCAGGGTAGTCCCTGGTGTAGGTCCCTGTCACCCCTGCACCCCGCGACCTCCTCTTGCCCGATCCTGGTTAACAGGCGGAGCCGTCGAGGGGACGCCACACCCGCGCGCCAACGGGACAAGCAGGGACTCGGCGACGCCACCCTCGGGTCCCTCCCCACCGCTCGCCGTGTTCGACCCCGTGCTGCCCCCCGCGTCGGCGGCCCCTCACCGCTCACCCAGCGCCTTCAGCAGCTCGTCGAAGTTCTCGCTGCTGCGCATCTTCCAGGTGCCGGCGAAGTTGGGCATGGTGGCGGCGGCGGGCGCGGGGACAGCGGACGGCGGCGGCGAGGCTGCACGCGGGCTGCGCGGCGGAAACTGCGGGGTGCGCCCGCCGCGCACTGGAGTCCAGGGAGCGCCCCCCGCTGTGCCGAGGCCACGCCCACGGCCACGCCCACACCGCTCTGGGAGCGACCCCGCCTCGCAGCTCGCACCGCCCCAGTCCCGCCCAGCATCTCTTGCCGGACCTGCCCCACTGAGCGGCTGGTCCTGCCCCGCCCCCGCCTCCTCTTCAGGCTTGCCGCAGTTCGGTCTTACCCTCTCCCACTTCCACCCAGCCCAACTCGCCCCTTGCCCCTCGGGGTCTGGCTTCCTGGGGCAGGCCTGGAGCCGGCTTTCCAGCTGGGTGTGTATCCCTGCCACCCTGGCCACCACATCCCTATTTTACTCTGGATGGTGGGAGAGGGTTCCATTCAGACCCTGACCAGGAGGATCTGCTTGTTGAGCTGGGCAGTGGGCATCCGGCAGCCATGACATCATTCTACTACTTACAGATCTGTTTAAAATATCCATTCTAAAGTGGATGATCGGGCGTAGGAACCTCTCTATCTGCCTCCCCCCTCCACCCCCCCTCAGTCGTACTTTCTCAGTGTCACCTGCTGACTGGGTCATCCCCTCTCCCAGCACTCCCACATCAGCAGGACCTCATCCTGTGCCACAGGAACCTGTAGGGCAGGCTGCCCTCATCCGCCTGGCCACCAGGGGAACCCGGGAGCCAAGAGGGCTTCAAGAGCAGCATTGTCATGGTATTTCTGTGGACTCAGCCTCAGGATTCAGAACAAGAACCCCGCTGAGTACATGAGACCCAGCTCCTGGTGTGGTCACCAGAAGTCCTGTTCTGTCTTTTCCCTTGTCTGGTACCTTCCTGTTCAGTAATCCTCGCCGACTGTCTCCCTAACCAGGAACTGGGTTCAGGTCTGGGAGGTGAGCAGTCAAAACCCAGGTTCTTTCCTGAGTGCTTACTTTACTCAGGGGGACCCCTGGAAATTATGACCACCATGTGGGCTAACAGTGCTGAGCCCAGCCTGGGTGGAGCCATAAGAGCATGTGGAGGGGCTTCAGGGCTGTGGAGTGCCGCTGTCACCAGGAGTTACAACGTGGAGTGTGCATTGGGGGACAGCGGACAGCGGGGGCCTCATGTCTTCCAGCATTGCAAGATTGTACAGCCTGCAAGGGTGAGTTAGGAGGTGACATTTAGGAGGTGAGCAGAAGCCAGATGACCAGGGACAGGGTCCACAAGTGCGGAGCTACTAGGTGGCCACATGAAAGAGACTTGAGCAGAGATAATTCATGGTCCGATTGCAGTTTTTGGAAATTTGCCATGTGGCCTTGGGGAGAGTGGATCCGAGGGGTTGGACACATTGCCAGGACCCAGGGAGAAGACTGTTGCCTAGAAAGGCAGGCAACAGTGGCGAGAAAGGGGTGTCAGAGAACCAAAGCTCCCTAAGGCCAGTCTGTGCTTTGAGCCAGGCATCCTGGCAGCGGGGAGCTTCTTCAAAATTCAGATTCCTAGGCCCTGCCCACAGGGTCTCTCCCACTGGCTGCTGTTGATCAGGGTGTGGCTAATTCCTGGCGTTTCCTCTCCTGTGTCAAGTCTTGGGGGCAGGCTCTCAGGCCTGACCCTCTCTCCAAAACCCCTTTGTTCTCCAGCTGGCACCCCACATCACCAGCTCCTCTGGGCCACTAACCCTTGTCCTTACCCAGGACATTTCTGCTGAGCTCTGCTGCTTTTGCCTGGAGGCACGCCAAGGCCCAAGACCCCTCGGGGTCACTGGCTGGGCCCCATCCCCTCAGGCTGGCTCAATTCACGCTGGAAGAATGGGGGGTCAGAGTTCAGCACCCGAAAGCCGGGGCTCTGAAGAGGGTCCCAGTGGGGGACTTCACAGCAGCTCTGTGGAATGGGGGCTGGGGCCACCATGACCTGCCCAGGACATTCTGGGAGTCAGCAAAACAGGACAAAGAACTGGATTCCTGGGGAGGAAAAGCGTTCAGGCTACGTTCACCCTGCTTAGGGGGTTTCTTCTAGGTTAATGGGGTGGAAGGAGCACTGGACAAGGAGTCAGAGGGCTGAAGGAGTGAGGAAACCGTGGACTACATTAGTAGAATATGCACAAATAGCTAACACATACTGAGCATTTATTATGTGCCAGGCATCCTAGCACATGCTTTCTAAGAATGCATTCATTCATTCTTTATCATGGGTACCCATTTACAGATGGGAAACCGAGGCTCAAGCAGGGTCCAGGGTCACTCCACTGATGATATACAGAGCAGGGAAGTGAGCCCAGGTGGGCTGGCCCCAAATTCATGCTTTGACCTCCCTGCCCTATGGTTTATGGTACGGAAGGGGACATGGAGGCCCAGAGAGGAGTGTCTGGTCCCAGTCACACGGTGGAGCAGTGAGGAGCCTTTGTTCCTTGCCTGCCAGTCTCAGGGATCTTGGGCTCAGGAAAGATTTCTGGGGCCTGGAGTGTCTGGCTGCCTGAAGCTAAAGAGGATGCTGCCGCTTAAATCCAGGGCCCAGAGAAAGGGGTGCAGCAGATTTGTTTCTCCATCCAGCTGGGCTTTGGTGCTGGTTTGCCATTGTCACTGCCATAGTGAGCCTCAGTTTCCTCTTCTAAAGTAGGAATGAAAATACCAACCACACCTACTTTGAAAGGTACAATGAATGAGTAAATGTGAAAAGAAGGGATTGCATGGTCAATATCCATCTAGAATTTATGCTCAGCTCACTCCTGGGTGTCCACCACCAGCGCACATGGGAACTCTGGCTTCTCCTTTGAGTATTTAACTCACTCGCCACCGATTTTTTAAAGGATCTGCTGTATTCCAGCCCTGAAACCCCCAAATAATCCTATTCTGTTAGTTAGTATAGCTATTTTATAGATTTAGAAATAGGAATTGGAAGTGAATTGAGCTTTCAAGGTCACAAAGGAGAAATAGGCAGAGCCAGGATTTAAATCCGTGATTATCTCAATCCAGGCTCTGAGCCTCCAAGAGCTGATAAGTGAAGTGAGTCTGATTCCAACTTCCATGACGCCACCAGATACAGGAAAGTGGGAAGGCAAAGCAGTAAGCAAGCCGAAGTGACCACCCTGTCGGCAGTGCAGTAATAGAGAAATGATCCAAGGAGGGTTGAAAGGGAGAAATGACTGTAACAGACAATGCACAGGACAGAGAAAGGGTGCCCCTTAGCCAAAGCTCAAAGGCTTAGGAGTTTGACAAGTGAACGTTTCAGAGGATGCAGCAAAAGCACAGACCCGAGAAACCTAAAATGCAGGGGAAAGCAGGAAAGTCTGGCCCTGGGGTACAACACAGGGAGCTCTGAGGGCTGGGAGACAACCTGTAAGGGCAGCAAGGAAGCCTTGGGGAGGCTGCTAAGGTGGGAGGGTGCTGCTGCCCATCGCAGGAAGTCCCTGCCAAGGCTGGGAGGATGAGACCCCACTGCAGATGCAGGATGCAGAGGTTTTGCCTGAGGACCACAAAGTGTTTCTCCAGAATGGTACACATTGTCCACATGGGAAAACTGGGGTTTATGGGCTGGGGGTGTAGCTTGGAAGCAGAGCACTTGCCTAGCACACATGAGGCCTGAGCTATGATCCCCAGCACTGATTTTTTTTTTTTAAAAATCAGATTTTACATCAATCCTGGTATTTGTGGCTTCGCTTGAAAATTCAAATGATCTGGTAACTTGGTGTTATGTCCTAGATGACAACCTGTTATGGAGTAGGCTGTGTCACCCCAAATTCATATGTAGCGGTCCTAATCCCTAATATTTCATAAGACAACCTTACCTGGAGATTAGGGTTTTTGTAGAGGTATTTAAGTTAAAATAAAGTCATCCAGGTAGGCTCTAATCCAGTACAAGCAGTGCACTAACAAAAAATGTAAATGTGGATATGGACACAGAGAAAAAAGAAAATGTGAAAGGCATGAGTCCAGGAAAGAGGCCCGAAGCAGGTCATTCTGTCCCAGTCCTTGGGAAGAGCCCATCCTGCTGGCACCTTGACTTTAAACCTCTGGCTTCCCAAACTCATATACAGTAATTTTTAGTTGTTTGGGGCACCCAGGTTGTGGTTATTTGCTCACAGCCATGGTAAATCAGCACCTGACCCTTGGAAAGTAACAGTCCTTTTGAGGGTAGCGGGGGAGAGAGCTATGCCACAAGTGCCTGCTTGACTGTAAAGCCAGGGTGCTGAAGACACCACCAGAACAACCAGAACCACTTGAGCTTCAGAGGAAATAGAAGATTCTGAGATGGCCTGGCTGGTGGGCAGGCTTGCATCTTAGTGGTGAGGTTTGAGGCTGGGAGAGGCAGCTCAGCGCCTGAAGGAAGGCTGAAAGCTCTGTGAATGGTCTGAGCTGGAAAGGACTTCCTGTGTGGCTGGGCCTGTGGCCTGAGGACAGGCAGAATTGGATCACCTGGGCTCTTATGAGAATCACACAATCCTAGGACCAACCTGACCCACGGAATCAAAGTCTGCATTTCAGTGAGTACCGCAGGTAAGGGGCATCACATCCAAGTTGGAGAATCTCTGGGTCTTAAATGTGGCTGTACTTTGGGTGGTCAGTGGAACTGCCAGGTGGCTCTCAATGCCTGGGTAACTCTCACAGAGATGATGGGGTAAGTATTCTAGAGTGTGGTTTGGATGGCAGATTTGGAAATTTTCCCCAGTGATATAATGCACAGCCACATTTGGGGGCCATTGCTCTGCTGTAGATATTCACACCAGTTCTACTTCCCACTAGAAAACTTGTGTAGCAGAGGAAAAAACCAGAGTTTCTGGGCCTAGTCGGAATTCACTTTCCCCCCCCCAATGACTCAGGCTGTCCCAGAGAAGCTTGTACAGATGTCCCCTGGCCAGAGAAAGACATAGTCAGAGCCAGTTCCAGGGAACCAATAAAGATTCCACTGCTTGGCTTGAGGCATCTACATTCTGGACTGGGTGTGGAAATCCAGCCCAGTGACCAAAGATGTTAATCAACCTCCAAGAATCTGATTGTTCTTGATGGCTAGAACCCATGAGTGGGTGTGGGAACCCCTTGGGAGCACTTTACTGC